CATTTTTTTAAAATAAAGATTTATTTATTTATTCATACAGAACTGGGGTACAGACCAGAGATGCGGAGGGTGAGAGGGTTCACCAGGGACAGAGTGGGGAGCAGAACAGGCAGATCGACGAAGTACACTGCTGAGGGAAGCAGCGGGCGGATCAGGAGAGGTCTGCTGCGCCATGTGGTCACCTCCGGGGCAGGTGGGAATCGAACTCATGCGGAAGTGGCTTAAGCTTCTTAGTGCTGCGCTTTAACCCGCTGCACCACCAGGGAGGGCCAAACCATATATTCTTAAGTTATCAACTTTTCTGGCATTGTTTACAACAAAACAAAGTCATAATGCTAATATGTAAAATTTTGGGAAACACAAAGTGTGCTTCAGGACCATCTCTGTTTGTTAAATGGTTTATTTAACTGAAATATAATTGACACCTAGCAAAGCATTAGTTTGGGTATACAACAGAGTGTTGACACTTGCATATACTGCAAAATGACTAGCATGTTAATTTTAATTAACATCCATCACCCCAAACAAAGTCACCATTTTCTTTTGATGGGAACTTTTAAGATCTACTCTCTTAGCAGTTTTTAAATATACAATGCAGTATTGCTAACTGGAGTCATGATGCTTTATTATCCCCCCAGCACTTAATTATTTTATAAGTGGAAGTTTGTGTTATAAAACTATTTTCAATTCACCCTTCTCTCTGCCTTAATTTTGGAATTATTCTTACAGGCAAACAATCTCTTGGAACAGCCATATTCAAATGCTAGAAAGACCAAGATTATAGCCATATTGTGATTTAAATATTTCTGAGTTTCACAGTTGCTGCCTCTGTCTTGTTCCCTCCAGAATCCCAGCTCTACATAGCAACACATTTTGGCTCAGATACTGCCCTCATCATCCTCTTTCCAACTGCCAAAATTTCTAGGGCCCTCCATGGTGGCACAGTGGGTTAAAGCTCAGCACTATGAAGCAGTTTGCAGCCCCTGAAACACTAGATCTATCTCAGGCCAGGAAGATGACCCACGTGGCACTGTAGAACTCTCCTGTGCCATCCACTGCTGCCCTCAGCAGTGTACTTCAATCTGCCTATTCTGCTCCCCACTCTGTCTTGGTGACTCCTCTCACACCCTGCACCTCTGGCCTATACCCCAGTTCTTGTGTGCATAAATAAATAAATCTTTAAAAGAAAATTCTACTTTAGAGATTCTAACTAAAAATAGCATCCTAAAAATAAATAAAATGTCAAAATGTTATTAAATATTAAGCCATACTTTATTACCAGTAATATATAACAGAAAATGCTTGAATGTTATCCACTTTATTCACACAATAAATGTGTTTTGATATCAAATTAGATTTCAAGCAGATGCAATGCGTTTGAATATATAAAGATGTGTGAAACTATAATTTCATTTAGACAGGTATTCCAGGTACTGTGTAACGAAATACTTTCTACTGATGATGAATATAAATATGCAATCTTAAATGTTAAGCACTGTTTATAGTTCCTCAAATCATAAGTGTTCGAGTGACAGAAAAATCTTTTATAAGCACATATCTATTTTAGACTGTTCCAAATATACTAGACAAAGTAATGAGAGAAAAGCTAATAACTTAGTTGGAGACTGAACTGCACACAACACGTTTCAGGAATCTAGTGGGTGGATCCTCAACTAAGGAGATCTGGTCAAACAGCAGCTACTTCAATGATATTAGGGACAATATTTTAATGATATTAGGGACAATATTACCCTAAAACATCCGGACCTCACAAAGTGTTCCTTCCATCAGCGGGGACAGGAAATTCGGGTAATATCAAAAGGCAGGTGAAAATCAGAATTCATAAAATAATCATCAGCAAGACTCAGATTTACTCAAAGACAAACTTTTGTAGAAATTTAGGTACAGGGCCCTCCCTGGTGGCACAATAGGTTAAAGAACTAGGAAGCCACAGCCACGTGAGGACTAGTTCCACCCCCAGCCCCAGAGGCGTGGCAGACCTCTCCTGACCCGCCCGCTGCTCCCCTCAGCAGTGTACTTCATCAGTCGGCCTGTTCTGTTTCCCACTCTGTCTCTGGTGAATCCTCTCACTGCCCCTGCACCTAAGGCCTGTATCCAGTTCTGTATGCATATATACATCTTTTTTTTAAAATTCAGGTAGATACTGTATATATTCAATATACCTATCTACGTAGGTATAGATGGATACTGGGTGTGAGTGTGTATGTGTACAGTCAGCATAACCTAAAAACAAGAAAACTAATGATTAAATGAACTTCCAATTGTCATATATTTGGCAGGTTTCCACGAAAAGCCAACGCAATCAAACTCTCATCACCAAGACCTTAGCATTACCTTTGTTTGAGATTGATCCATGATGTTTTCAGGTACTCAGTGGTTTCTTTCACGTTCCTTGTGTCATCACTACCATAATCTTCCAGTAATTTCTGCAGGACATTATCGAATGCCATTATGATGCCATCACCAGGACCCAGTTCTTGAAGCAATATCTAAGGTAAAATTTCGAGTATAATTGTTAGACTTGCTCACTCAATAATTAGTATGATCGAAACACGAGCCGTCCCAGTAGGTTTTAATATATTTTTGATAAAGATATCAAGGGAAGAAAACAAAGTAAGAGACAAATCCTTGCATGTAAGCTTAAAACAAAATAAACTAGAAAATGTCTAAGAAACACATCGCAGGTGATAGTAAAAGATTATTCTTTTCCTCCTTGAGGTCCTTTTTACCTAAAACCACTTGTGTTTTTCATGCTTTCTGCTATTCACCTGATCCTGTAAGAACATCCATCATATAATAATGAACTTAGAATTTCTGTCCATGCTTAGAGATGGAAAAGGCACTAACAAGGAAGTCCTCTGTCTCCCATGCCTGGATCTCTTAGTGTTTACAAAATGAAGTGCCTGGAGCCAAGCAAAGTTTACTGGGAATTCCCTGAATAGCTAAACTTCTGCCAAGTATGTCGACAGATATTGGTTCTTTGATATGCTTTCTCCATCTTTGAGAACCCCTGGATCAAGATGCTCCCCAAGAAGTCTAAATGACAAGTAAATGCTCCTGTAACATTTTACATGTAATCACTGCCACAAAAATCCACACTGAAATTTCAGAAAACCATAGTGTTGTTGAGGAAAGACTAGTCTGAAATGATGGTTGGACATTTGGAACCACTTTTAATTGCATGCTGGAGTCCTATGTCCAGGAAAATCAGCTTGGCTGATTGAATCATTTCGTATAAACATTCAGTAAATATAAGCAGCTGAAAGATCCAGGAACCAACACTGGTGGCCTCCTGCCTTTTAGAACTCAATGCAGAAAGTTTACTAGCTCTCGAGTTTTAGATTTTATTTCCCACATACTCTTTCTTATATTCTTAATAAATGTACACTTTCATCTTAAACTATCTAAAGAGGAAAAAAAAAAGGCACACTAAAATATAACCTAACAACCATAATGCCCATTTTAAGAATGATGTCTATGATTGTAGAGAAAATATAAAACAGCAGCTTAAAAATACTTTAAATGCGGAATATCATCAACTCCATCATCAAACTAATCACAAAAAAGAGTATCTGATAAAATGGTTTAGTTATAAAAACATCAATAGAAAGTAAGCTTATTTGTGATTTAATGTCTTCACTACAGTAAACCCTAAACAAAAGTTTCAGGAAATCTCACAAATCAAAACAACCTCCAGGGTGGAGAAGGAAACAAGCTGAGGGTGAGTTTCTGGAATACTAAAATAGTCTTTTTCTAACACGGGTTCACGGGGTTTCCATTTGCAAAGTGTCAGTTTGGGTAAATCTAGGAGACATGCATATTTCGATTCATTCCTCCTCCAGAAACTTCTCCAAACCTTCCCTGTCAGATCCTTTCCATAAATCGCAGTATGTACTCTTGAGAATTTGAAAAACATCATGGAAAAGTCTAAATATCACATAACACGCAAGCACAACCAACAAACTGATAGTAACCCACAAGTATCCAAGTCTCACCTGATTATCAGAAATCTGTTTGATCAGGGGGTCCCGCCGGGCTTGCTGGAGAATATAGAGCCGAGCCTCGTGTTTTCTCATGAGCTCCTCGGTCTCCTCCCTGTGGTCCTCCCACTGAAGGCTGTCAACGGTCATGTCTTCCAGCTGCTGCTGCCTTAACTCGACTCCATGCTGAGTGCTATCCCACTGGTTCTTGACCTTTTCCACTGAAAACATAATCCCAGAAAAATCACTATCAGGAAAGGGGAAGATGCCTGAGAACAAATATGTCTATCATAAATAAGTTTACAAGAAGAAGAGAAAGAAGACAAAGTGCCACATACATTAAAAGGACTTTGAGTACACATCTGCTATATTATACAACTGATATATTTCTGAAACTACTACTGAAGGAAGCAGTCTTGGATTAAATGCTATTTTAAATGCACTAAGATAATTCACAATAAAAATAGCTGATAAACCAAGTTATAAATAAAATAAATTCCTCTCTGGCTAGATGAAGGCAGAGTTTAACAGTGCTTACCTGCATGTTCACAATGTTAAGACATAAATACAGTCACGTGTCATGCTCAAAAGAGATGTTCTAAGGTAGTCCTGATTTTAAAATAAAGCCAATTATTTGAATATGCTTTTCACATTTGTTTTACTGCAACATGAAATCCTTCTCAAAAGTATTTTTGTATGCTCAAGTTCCAAAGAAACATTCAAGTAGACTAAAGTTGTATTGAATCTAAGTTACCCAGCAGCTCTTTATAATAAAAAAAAAAGCCATATTGATTCTTTCTCTCCTTCTTTTCCTTAATGCTCTCTTTCTAGTATCTTTCTGCCCTCTTCATTTCCCCCTCCCTTCTTTCCTTTTCTCACTTTTAGCATCAAGTCAAGGAGAGATTTAAGGAAGCAATTTTTGATTGATTGAATAATTTAGGGGCAATGATCATAAACTGAAGTAGCAGAATAGACTCAAAACACCTTTTCATAGGGAACATAGTTGACTTTCTTCCCTTGAGAGATATTATGAAAGGTAATAAAATACCCCTTATACACTGCCGCAAACATTTATTAAGTATCTAATATTTTACATCAGGCACTGTGAGAGTTGATTATTCACCATGTATGTACTGGAGAGAATTAAAGTAACTGAGATCTACAAGATAATTATGGGGGGAAAGGCTGCCACAGTAACTAAAGATAGAAAATATTATAGTTCACAAGAGACCAGAAGATGGGGAAGACTTCATAAAGTGGGTGACATTTTAGTTGCTGAGTAGAATTTCACCTGGGAGGAAAAGGCCAAAAAGAAAAAAAGTGACACGAATAAAATACGGAGACTAAGAAATGTCAGGATGTTTTAAAGAATATATAGATAGTAGCACAGGATAGCTAGACAGGGCCCGGGGCTGTAAGCAGGCACAATGACAGTGGACTCTGATGTTCCCCAGATGACATTCCTGAGAATGGAGACTGGCTTGTGTGCGGCACAGATTTCACTGGTGCTTTAATGCAAAGAGCACATTTCTTATTAGGGTTCTATACGTTTATTTTCCTTTTGTTTTATTTGCTTCTAACTAAAGTAATTTCAAATTAGTGCCAGGCATATACACATCTAGTAGTTTCCCAATAAGTAGTTTGAGAATGAATTTTGAATGCTGAGAGAGATCCGGTTTTGTCCCAGCCTGGAACAAGTTCCCTACTCTCGCCCCGTACATCTTGCTCTGCCCCATTTATATTTTCTTGCAGACTAAACCAGAAAACCAGGCAAAACTGGCTGAAACCAAAATGGAAAGAGAAATAAGACGAGAGTTATACCTGCTCATGACCACTGTACAAAACACAACTACAAGCACCATGATCCTCTGTGTATTAATTGATGTCAATTAATGCATTAAAGAATTCATAAAGGAATTACTACTACTACCACGCCCACTAACATAAAAATAAGAGCTATATTTATTTATCAATAAATAAATCAATCACAGCATCAAATATCAAAGAACATTTCTAGTTGAATAATCTTTGAGTGCGTATGTGTACCTGAGACCATTTTCAGGAAAAATGGATAATAATATATAATCTTTTAAACTTACATTTTTCTGTGATTGCTGTTCTCACATCTGAACTGGAAGCTTTATTTTTCAAATTCTGTGCCAATGTGAAAACATAATCAAGCTGAGGATGGCGCTGTTCTAAATCAGCTTTTGTGATCTGTTGAAAGAAATGATTAAGAACAATTTATAAGTGACAAGATAAGAACCTTAACATCTATCAAGTTGCTATCTTTCTCCTATAAGGAATTGTGTGGCATTGATGACACAGAAGAGAAAGCAGGAGCTGGAGTTAAATGTTCCACGTTCAAACCTCAGCTCTCTCACTTCTCACCTACATCCCCAGTAAGGTAATTTACTTCTGTGACCAAAAAAGAAATATTAAGCTACTTATGGTTCATTTGCATATCCAGTCTGAGAAAGTTCAATGAACATCCCTTTGAAAACTATAACAAAAACTCTGAAAACACTGAGCAACTATTTGTCACTCATGACTTGCATGTCTGCTATCAGATGTGAATAGAAAGTAGCGTCACCCACAGAAATGGAACTGAGTGTTAAGAAAAATGCTAATTTGAGTAATTACAAATTAAATAACCTTAGACATGAAAAACTACAGTTTTAGAAAACGATTGTTTTTTAGTACTGATAAATATGGGAGAAAAACTGACATCAGAAAGAGTGTGCTTTAAGTATAAAACTAATGAATAGCCCTGAAGATTTGAAAATTCAGTTTATAGTCAGTACAAATAATTGGCGAAGATCCTCTATCAGCTTTTCTTCTTTATGAATTCACTCATGTTGCTGGTTTCAAAAGCTCCCATCGAATATTATTTCAAAATGGATTATTCACAATTACTAATCCTGAATCCCAGAGAGACATGTCAACGAATGCTGATCATTTTCTTCAAAATAGCCTAAGATCCTCTCGAAACAACATGTCTGAAACGAAATCAGTCAACCCCCACCCAGATCCCCTATTCTCTATTCCTTATTTCCAGTAATTGCAATAGCATCATCTTAGTCACTCGGAAAGAGCTTTTTCCTCGCTGTAAGCATCTCTTGTCTCCACTCCATACTACTCACTATTCCCAGTCTGTTACTGAAGCTGAGCCTGGTCATCATCAGAGTCCAGTAAAATTCAAAAAAAAAAAAAAAGTAAGAAAAATAGATGCTTGCCAAGACCTCTTCTAGTCGAGACGTCCAAATGGCTTTGCTGCCCTACCGCCCTTCACTAAATGAGCGCGAGCAGCCGCACAGCGCCTCACGTCCCACGACCCCTCTTCACTGCACAAATGTTCACTCGGTGTCCCTCATGTTCCCCAAGCCCCGCCCACACTCATGCCAATGCCTCCACCAGGAACATGGCGCACTTTGCCCCTCTGGGTGCCAGAAGCTCACACTGACCCCTCCAGCCTGGCTCCCCTAGCAGGTCTCTGCAGCTGCTCTCCAGCTCTGCGAGGCCCTGCTTTGGCAGCCACTTCCTCCCTGTCTGCACCAAGCCTCTGCCTCTGTCTGGGATGCCTGTAACTGGGAACAAAAACAATACCTGCCTCATGAGACTCTTTAAGTGGATGAGATAACAGATGTCAAATACTTAGAAAAATACCAAACTCAGAATAAACACTTAGTCAAAGTTAGTGATTGGAGATTCCCAATTTCCATCTAGCATATTCTTTCCTGTAATCCTATAGAACAGAAGCAGTGGGGGTGGGGGACCTTGGGGACAGAGAAGAACTTCACAAGTTGAAGTTAGATGGTAGATGTGTATAGTCATAAATTTACAGTTGGGAACTTCTCTCTTCCCAAATGAGCTTTTAAACAAATAAGGTCATTATGAAGTATAAGTTGGAAAAGTGAGTCAAGAAATCACCTACATCATCCTAGGCGTAATGGTAACTTTACGTCAATTAACTTAGATCCTCAGTGTGAGACTCCAGCTGGTGAACCTCAGCTTCACAAAACAGGACAAATGCGCAGAAAGCTTTTCTGCTTAGAGCTAGCTAAGGAAGGCTGTTTGAGAGAGAAAACATTTTCTCAAGCTCATTCCCCCAGAGCACGAGGTAATTGAGGGCAGAGTCTGACCACCTCTGTGCTGGGTGTTTCCATGACCAGCCTTTTCCACTGGGCACCTACTTTCATGCGGGAAACTGTCTTATTGATCTCCTTCAGATCCCCGACAGTGACTATGTTGGACTTCAGCATCTGGTCGATCAATACCAGCCAGTCGGCCAGTTCTGTTATCATTTTGTCCAGATCAGCAGGAATTGAAATTTCCGAAGCAGGATGAGACTGAACAGAAACATCTGACGCAGAGGATGCTAGCACCACCTTTTGGACACTAGGGTGAGCTGAAATAAAAAATATAGCCAGTGTTAGTAAGTGAACAGCATATCTGGCTGCAGCAGTGTAATAGTGACTTGTGTGTGCAGGTTTACATGTAAGTTTAGTAAAAAAAAAAAAAGGGGGGGGGTTAATGGTTAATGCTAAAATGCTAAAATAGCAAAGGTCTTTCCAACAGTAATATCTGCATGTCTCCGGTAGTCACGGAGTCAATCACACAGACCCTCACAACACTACAATGAAATGGCCGTTTCTGAATCCAAAGTAACAAGGGGAAAACACCTTTTTTAACCAACCATAGAAAATTAGGAGTGTGGCTTTATTTTTGTCCCAATCGTTTTTTTCCTTCTATGAAGCAGAAATGCCACTATTATTTTTCATTTAACTTTAGAACATAAGCAATATTCATCCTTAATAAATATCTTTGTGAATATCTACACTAGCTCTCTCTATATATTTTCATTCACTTTTAGTTAATCCTTTCCTACAGCGGGATGATTTGCTAGTCCAGTTTTACTTTATGAAAGACCTTACAAGCCATATTTTTTGTGTGGCTGTTTTCCACACAGTTGACCTTCACCTTAGCATAGGTTTCCCAAAGCAAAACTGGTGGATCAGAAAAACACACACACATACACACATACCTGTATGCAGTGTATGTAATACTTATGGCCAAACTGCTTTCTATCAAAGTTGGAAACTTAAACTTCCAGCAGCTGAGTATGGAACATACAAATGTCCTGGGTCCACACCAAAAACACTGTGTATCTCAACAGATAAACACGTCTTCCACCTGTGCCTTCACTTAAAGGCTTTTTAATTCATTACTAGGGAGAACAGCTGCTTTCAGTTTGCTAGTCAAATATGATGTAACTTATAAATGACTTCTTGATATTCTTTCCAATCAGTCTGGATGAGAAATGAACCCTTGGCATAGTCTTGAAAATGGTGCTAATATTTTAGGATTTTTTAAATGTATTTTTAACATATAGGTGTTCTCGAATGTTGGAGCAATCAAATCCATAAATTTATCTTGGGGGATTAATTTTTTTTAAGATTTATTTATTTAAGCATACCAAATGGGTACAGGCCAGAGGTGCAGGGGTGGTGAGAGGATTCACCAGAGACAGAGTGGGGAGCAGAACAGGC